CCGTTTAGGTGTGAGAACCACTTTTACTTCTCCATTCAACAAATATAAGATAATACATTTTGATTCATAATAAAATATAATTAAAAAGTAGTTTTCCCATATAATGGATTAAAATCATGACTTAAGAGTATGAACCACCTATAACCTATATTTGGTGTGTACAAGGATCATATGCAAATATTTAATTTTCTTCAAAAGAGAATGAAACAAATTGTTTTAAATATTTTATTGTTTATGATTCTATCCTAAAGATTTTCATGACCCATGAACATGGTTGTTAAATTATATATGTAATAAATAATCATATTATCTTTATAGGACATACATAATATTTTGAATTCAAAGTCATAATAAACATGTTTTCTTACGTTATTATTTGTATATATAAAATATTAATAATAATAACATTGTTTAAATATTTGCACTTTTAACTAAAAATAAATATTTTTAAAAAGGTAAATTAATATAGCAAATTTAATATAATCTAATTTAATTTATGTGTATTGTACAATATTATGTAAAATATTTATTTATATTTGATATTTTCTATATGTGGATATTTTTTCTACAACATTTGAAACACTTTTACCATTAATACATATTTTGAACTGTTAGATCTGCTTGATCAGAATTTGTTCCGCTAGATCCACTTGATCTGCATTTGTTATGCTTAATCTGCTCGATCCACTACATCTGATTATCTTTATCCATTCGGATCTTACAAATGGATTGAGAGAAAATTGCGCTATAAATTTAAAAGTTTGAATTCTTTATGTTTGGTTAGTTTACCGGTTTTCATTAAACTATATTATTTTCATCAGTCAATATATAATATTGTCTGCCATATGTTAATGGTATAAATGACTATATTTCAAGGTATGTTTCAAGGTCTTAAATGAAAATAATTGATAACTCTTATTTTGGAAGCTTTTATGAGGTTATGAGGTTCGTGGAGCGTGTTGAAGCTACGTTTATAGATCATTTCGCGAATGCTAATAGATCAAAAAGAATGAACATCTTGAGATCCAAAGCTAAAAGAGAGAGGAACATCGAATTACATTCTCCACATGTGGAGTTTATACTACTTTTTCTAATTTTATTTTCCCTCGATCTTTACTTGTAAGTTGCTAATTACCATGATTCGGAAGTTAGAATTATTGATAATTGCTATTATTTTAGCAAACAGAACCGACTTTCTATAGCAAATAATCTCGGAAAATATAACATTATAAAGTATAGGATGCTTTCGGCTGTCAAGACATTCTATGCGCTTTAACCTCTATTAAAGCAAGCTTGATCAAACATTTAATACCAAATAATATGTTACAACTCTGAACAAATTGTGATACCCTTCCTAAGCAAAGTAATTTGACCACTACATTTCAAAACTATCGTCGCAGCTAGTAGCATCCGATCCACACCACATTATACCCTACATTGAAGGTGACCTGACTTGAGAGATATAAAAATCGGTTTCTCCGACTAGGCTATGTAAAACACTAAAAATCATTATTTTCCATCCAAAAGAAAAGAGAGAGGTTGGATGCCCAAATTTGTGGGATCCCAAAGAAGTTAAACCCCCATTAGGTTAGCCCGATAAAGAAGTTAAACCCCCATTAGGTTAGCCCGATAAAGAAGTTAAACCCCCATCAGGTTAGCCCGATAAAGGATAGGATGCTTTCGGTTGTCGTGACACTCTCTGTGCTTAACCTCTATTAAAGCAAGCTTGATCAGACATTTAATACCCAATATTTTGTCAACGATAGCCATGTACAACTCCGAACAAATTTTGACACCCTTCTTAAGCAAAGAAATTTGACCACTACATTTTAGTACTGTCGTCGCAGCTAGGATGCACGCCATATTATACCTTACATTGAAGGTAACTTGACTTTAGAGACATAAAAATCGGTTTCTCTGACTAGACTAGGTAAAAACACTAGAAAATCTCTCTTTTCCATCTCTCTTTTCTCTGACTAGACTAGGTAAAAACACTATAAAATCTCTCTTTTCCTCTGAAATCACGATTCATTACTTCAATATTATCTAACACTTTGCAAACTGAAAGATAGAATGATGACCGTTTTTGTAAATCTTGAACACGATACCTCGACAACCCTAAATTGTAAGTTTAATTTTCATCCAAATTTATAATTAATTTAGGTTTAAACTCTTTTTTATAAGCGCTAAAATGTTATTTTGTGGTTGGTTATACTTTCATTTACTCTTTGCTTATGACTACATTTACATACAAGTTTTACTTAAAATGTCAAATTCTAGTGGTTTGTGTGGTTGTTAACCGAGTTTTAAGTTTGTGTAGTTGATTGATGTCAAAGTTCACATGGTTACAAATTTATTGATATATGTTAGACCATCTCCAAAAAGGAGTTCTCTCACATGTTTTACCAATAATAAAAAAATCTAAAAAATTAAGAGAGAGAGAGAGAGAGAGATAATTATGAGAGAATAAGCACTACTCTTATTTAAGAGGCGGTGAGAGAAGTCTGAGAATCCTTCCTTTCCATATGTTTTGATTCTAGTGGTAGAAACTAATTAATTATTTTAAAATTGAATTAGTTAAGTAAATCATAGTAATAAAATAATTTTTTGTTAATTAAATACCCATTTAGAGAGTCTCACCGTTGAGGATGCTCGTAGTACTTTATGACCGATATTTTTTTTCTTAATCAAATTTTCTTGTTTAAAGTTACTGTTTAGATATTTTTCAACAACCCCAACAGTTTTAAACCAATCTGCAGTAGTTCTTGTGGGCATTGTCCGATTCTTTTTTCTTTCCTGGTTTTTTGTGTAGTTCATAGAAAATAATCAAATACTAAAGAAAAGTTATATCGTATCTGATTTAAGTTGGTGTGGCTTATGTTCGCTACCTTTTAAAAAAACAAGCACCTTAAAATGTAGAGTAATATCAGTATTTATGCATAGAAAACTTCATAATTAGTTCTCTCTCGTACTACTATTTCAAATACTCTGTTCACTTAATTTGGATAATTTTACCCTTATTTTATTAATTGTTCTCACTTTTCAGTTTTTTTTCATCTTCTCTTCTATTATTTCTTCCGTTTTTATCACATCCCCTTTATTATGACAAATACATATGTTAATGTTTATGTTAGTTGATACCAACCATATAATAAATAATTTAACATAATACATAATACTTTATCATATAACGATGGTGATAATTTACCAATGGTGATGGGTGATCATGATAACGACATTGATAATTTTATAGGCGGTGGTCATAATAGAAATAGCGTCGAAGAGAGTATAGCGGCTAAAGGATTTCATGGTGAATTGAATGGATTGAGTTGCGGGGTTCAAGATTTTAGCAGAATTATGCAATGAAGAATTTGCCAATTGGAGGTTTGATGGGTTAATCGATCAAGATAGGGGAATGGGTATCGTCGACGGCAACACCATTGTCACATTTTTCTGGATTCGATTTTATAGTACGGATAACAATTTAATTAACAACATATATAAAGTGCTAACATATCTTAAACGCAACAATTATATTAGCATGATAAATGAATATGCTGATGTATAAGTTAACGAAAATTGTTAAATTATTAAAAAATAAATAGGGTAATACATAGGTTAGTTGATATAATCATAGAATAAATGTTTAAACACATAAATGTTAGTTTACCACGTAACTTAAAAATTATCACGATATAATATGAATTATCATGTTAGTCATATAAAAGAAAGACTAATCTTTTTTATTGAACTGATATATGCATAAATAAAAACACTCTCCTGAAGCGTGTCCTTTGCTATTTTAAAGGCACTGATTCTTAATTGTAAATCGATAAATATTCATTTAACACATAATATGTAAACTTATTGCGATAGCAAATTAATTAGCATATTAAACGAATAATAGATAAAATGCTAACAAAATAATTAACTATCTAAAACTACAATTGATTCGTTACCGGAAATTTGACCAGAGCTATTGTTGGAATCCATCTGAAATGTTTATCTCGTCGATATCTTTTTTTTTGTGTGCAAAATACTCTTGTATTCATTCACTCAAGAAGAACCAAATACAAAGAGAAGAAAGGATCAAAAAGATCCAAAGTTTAGAACATAAAAAGGACATCCCCAAATGTCACAAATAGATAAATAGAACAAATCGACAAAGGTCCATGAGCGCTTTGACACAAATGCTTGAAGGCGATTTGGCACATGTGAGGTCACGGTTTGTCGAAGGATCTTCCACGAGCGAATCGATGGATGACAAGATAGTCACTGTCAATAGAAGACTATGTGACGTTGACGAAGTAACCATGGCTGAACTTCTCGTTGGCTTGAGAAGATCTACACAGTAAATCAGCACAGGTTCAGGAGACTATGGATTTGTAGTCAGATGTGACTTGCTTTACGAAATAAAGCAGGGGTTCGGGATCACTCAATAGAAAATCAGATTTTTCTTGAGAGCATAGGATCCGGGTCTTGTAGATGAAGGTGTATGAGCAATAAATGAAGACAATTGATAATATTGTCGCAGAGTAGAAATTAAACCAAGGGCCTCCATGGCCACAAACAGATCTCTGACAAGAACGGTTCAGGAACAAGGATCTATAAGTCTTCAAACTTTTGGACATAAAGCTCCACCCCATAGGTGCAACTAGAATCAGGGTTCAGAAGTAAATCTGTAGCAACAAAAGTGATTTATCTCTCAATTGGTATCTCATGCCCTTGAGATAATATAATCTATCTAAGCGTCTGACTACAAGAGACAAAGACAAGATCGAAACTGACCTAGATTGAATACTTTAAAGATTTGGGTTGGACCATATCTCATCGATATCTGTTTTATTATATCGCTAAACAATATGTTACATGTGGAAGATATTTTTGTTCAACTAATACAAATTGATAAGAAAAAATTAATTATACAAAAAAACATACATATATTCTTAATTTTTCAGTTATCTGAGCATCTAAATTAATATAGCCCTAAAATGTATATGTGTCTATAACAAAGTAATTTGACATTGCATGCAAATATATGCGGCAAAACTAAAAGTAATAAACCATTTAGGACAAAAAAAATGTTTTTTTTAAAAAAGGGCTTTAGTTCAAATAATTAAATATTCGGAGTGACTCACTTTCTTTTTCCCCAGGTACTTCGTACCTATAAATATAACACCTCACCACACCCATTGTTTCATTCATCTTTCCAGCTTTCTTTTCTTTTTCCTTTGTACTAAAGTGAGATAAACAAAAATAGTTAGAAAATAAAGAAGAGAAAAAATCTGAGAGAAACAGAAGAAACATTAAAAAAAAAATATGAGGCCATTGAGCATTAAACCAACATCGTTAGATGTAGCTAGACATGCCACATCAGTAGAATCATTCGGGAATCACCGACCGCCGATATCTCCGTGGCACTCGCCGGTGCCGTACCTATTCGGTGGTCTTGCGGCGATGTTAGGCCTCATAGCCTTTGCTTTACTTATCCTGGCCTGCTCTTACTGGCGCTTTTCCACCACCAGTGATGACTCCGGCGAAGGAAACGGCGGAGGAGTCGACGAGGAGAAAGAGAGTCGGTCTGGAGTGAAGGCGGCGAGTGCAGCGTATGAGGAGAAGATTCTTGTCATAATGGCCGGAGATGACTTGCCGAGGTTTCTGGCCACGCCGGCGGCGAACAAATGCATGTGCGGTCACGAGGGTAAAATGGTAATTTCGAAGGAGGATGGTGTTGGTGCTGGAGAAGAGAAAATGGGAGACAGAGAGAAAGCCAAAGAAAATGAAGAAACAACGAGTCAGTGAGCTTTTTTGTTTTCTTTTCTTCTCTCAGTGTTTGTCTTTTTTTGTTGGGGAATTTTCTTGGGATATTTTCCTTCGTGTTTTCCCGGGAATGTAAATTTTACTGAGAGAAAATTTTGGTTACGATTAATGAATGATTGCTTGTAATTTCCTATTTTCAGATAGTGGAAAACTCGTTTTCTAGTTTTTGTAATTCTCAATAGTGTGATGGGTAACCTTTATCGTGCTAATTGATATACCACTTTAATATGACCAATCAGTAATTATACGGTAAGGTAAAACGGAATAACATAATTATACGATATAAAAAGTTTACTACTAGTATGTTTTAGCAATTTCTCTTACATCTGCAATTGTTTGTTGCTCTATCTTATGTCATCAGTAAGATCCACTAAAAATAAATCATAGTATCATAACACAAGTGATCATCAGTATAAAACTTGCAATGTTTTTTTTTGCTATAAAAAACTTGCAATGTTTCAATGGAAACGTGATTTCATCCCATACACAAAAGTGTAATTTTATATTAATGTTCAGAAATTAATTTAATACATTTACCCTTTGATTACGTATATATTCTCGACATTTTCTTTTTGTCAAAGAGATTCTTTTAGTTGCTTTCATTATGAATTGTTATAATTGTGTCTACTCCAAGTATTGTGTTGATTTCATATTTTTCCTTGCATTTACATTAGTTAACAAATTGGATATTTTAAGTTAGTTGATAGTCCATTCCATTACTAGTTTGCTGTCAAAATTTAACTATACATTTTTCTTAATGAGTGAATAAACTGAAAATAATATGATTAACTATCAATTTAATATTTTATTTTTAATTTTATCGAGTTCTTTAGTTTAATATGTGCGCGAGTTGTAGTCTTGTCACAAGAAAAAGAATCAAATTCTTTTTTGATTAAACAAAAATTAGAAACACATTATGGTATAAATCAAAAGATAATTCGATTACTTGCCCCAATTGCCTGCTTTGCTTTTAATTTGATACTAACCCATCAACAAGCGTCTTCTTGTTACATGACCAAATTTTCTTCTGTTCTCACGTTACAAATGCAGAAAGATTTTGAAGTGAAGTGCACTCCACACAAACGTCTAAAACTTTAGGTTTGCATTATCTTCAATCAAAAAGTCATTATAACTTAATTTTTATTTTGATATAATAATGGCCTTTTTCGCAAATAATAATCTTCAACCAGTTAAGTGATTTTTTTTTTTAAATCTTAATAAACTCATTTGCATGTGTAATTCAATTTACATACATACTTAGTAGTAAAATATTTCTTCCATTTAAAATTAAAGGTCGTTTCAAAATTTAAATTTTGTTTCAGAATAAGTGTTGTTCATATTTATTAATTATATATATTTGTTAAATTTTATGTTTTAGTCGCTAATTAATGCATTGATATTGTAAACTAGGCCTAGGCGTTCGAGTATCCGTTCGGTTCCGGTTCTTTCGGTTCTAGAGTTTAAGATCCATATGGGAACCAAAAAATTTCGGTTCGGTTCCGGTTCTTTCGGTTGTGAAGTTTATGATCCATTTGAGTATTTTCTTTCAGATATTTTTAGGTATTGGATATTTTTGGGTATTTTCAGATATTTTCGAGTATTTTTTTGATATTTCAAATATTTTTATATATTTTCAAAATATTTGTTAGCATTTCGGATATTTTTGGTTATTCGATCTAAAAATAACTAATATTTTTATATATAAATTCATATTTTGGGTATTTTTGGGTACTCGAAATATTTCGGTTCGGTTCGGTTCCAGTTTCAGTTTTTTCGGTTCTAAAATTTAGAATCCATTTGAGTATCTTAAAATTTTGGTTCGATTCTTTTTGGTTCAGTTCCGATTCAATTCTTATGGTTCGGTTATTTTGTCCAACCTTATAAACTACAAGCTATATAACCCACTGATTTTAACAAAGGTGCAAAAAAATTATATAATATTTGTCCATTAGTAGCAGGTAATTAATTTAATACGTTTGTTCACTGTATCAAAAGAGCTGCATAAGGAAAAAGGGTACACGTGTCAAAAACAGAGTTTAATATGAAAGCAAAGACAATGATTCTGTTTTGACTTATTTGTCATTTGCTGAGCTGTCTTTAGAGGCGCCGAGTAGCCGCGTCTCCCGCAAGAAAGTTCCAAAACTTCTTTCCCTTTTTTCATTGCATTTATTTCGCTCAACTTTATAACTGTCTTAAACTTTGTGCCGCATAAACAAAGCTACAAATAAAATTTAAATAAAGAATGGCGAAAAAACAAAATTACTTTTTCCGAGTGAAAACATCAGTTGATAAGGAAGAGTGTGAATATGCGATTTTTGTTGTTGTAAGGTTCTAGCATAATTCCTATTAACATCAATTTTGATATAGCATTAGACCATGTACATAGCTAATCTTTTCACAGTATCAGTAGCCCATTTAATAATTTTTAATGGACCAAACACATAAAATTGGGCTGAACCGTATCACTCCACTGAGACTTCTGATACCCAGTATCAGCTTACGTGGCAGGCTGTGATTGGTCACAGAAATTCTTGTTTTTTTTTTTTTTGGTAAAACGCGGAAATTCTTTTGTCGAAAGAAGAAAACAAGAAAAAAAAATCATTTGTTTCTGTCGATTTTTTCTCTCTCGCTCTCACGGCGATATGCCGATTTCTTCTCAGCTCCGCCCGATTCTCCGTAGATCGTCGTCGATCTAGAACATGGAGATGCTTCAGTTGAAGAGATCTGTCGCCGTGGAGCTGTCGGTTGAAGATAAGTTTTCTGATTTCCTTTTTCTTCTGTGTAGATCTAGGATTATGGTTTTGGTAGATTAAAGTCTTTTTTGTGATTAGGGTTTCGGGAAATTTGTTTGCTAAGGTGAAATTCGATTAGGGTTTGTCACAAGTGTTGGTATTTGACAACGTTTCTCCAAAGTCTTGTTTCTATTTTGTGGAAAAGGTGATTCTTTGTTATTATTCCCTTATTGGTGATTCTCGTTGCAGTTGAGGAACTTGTAGACATGCTGTTTTTTTGTTTTTGTTTATGCTTTAGATTTATAACCTGTCTACCTTTGATAAATTGCAGGTACGTTGGAAACATCCATATTCAGGTGACGGAACCTCTGCTTCAAGTTTGTAAGTGTGGTTTCAATCTCTATCTTTCTCTGTAATGATAAAGATAGTAAAATCCAGATGTTTAGAAATTGAATTGAATTGTGTCTATTTAATCATGATAAAAACTTTGTTAATCTTTATTTGCTATTGAAAAAAACATTGTTTGCTATTTATCTTTGATGTTAATCATGAATGTCTACATGGTTTTGTAGCTTTGGAGAGGAAGAGGATGGTGAGAGTGGTCAGATTCTCAAATGATAGAAGCTGCGTAGGTGAAAGGTAAAATTGCTTGTGTTTTCAATGTGTGTAATTGTTAATTTATGTGTGTGTAAAATGAAATGAAACTGAAAATGAATTGAACAAAGATTAGGAACTGAAATTGGTTGTGTTTTCAGTGAGTGTAATTGTTAATTTCTGTGTGTGTAAAATGAATTGAAACTGAAAATGAATTGAATTCAATTGAATTGAATAAAGATTAGGAACTGTAATTGGTTATGCAAACAATTGATTTCTAAAAGTTTGTTTCTGATTTGATTTTAATTCTTTGTATTTGATGTCATAATTGAAACTGATTCTATTATCTTGTTGTGCAGAAATGTCTGAGTAAGAGGTAATCTCTTAAATGATGGTAGTTGTGAGCTTCTAAAATTATAATAAGAAGCTGCGGAGGTGAAATGTAATCTCTTAAATGATTCTATTTTCTTTTTGGTTTTCCTGGTTTTAATTTCTGTGTTTGAATTTATTCATGATTAGATAGATATGGTTGAGAATGTAGTTGTGTATAAATGGAACGATGAATACAGTTGGAGTAGTTAATGCATTTAATATCATCTCTGTTAGAATATTTTCTCTGAGAATAGAGTTTGTGTAAATGTTGTTTGTGTTGTGTATGATGAGACAAAGTTAATTAAAACAGAAATTAGGTTCTATTAAATGCAAACTGAACTTACAATTAAAGGGAAATAAAATGATGATGAGATTGGTGCCATCTAGACTGAATTTATGTTGATGGAAAGTGTTTCAGTCACTTGAATTAGTAAACCAAACACATAATTAACTTTGTGTTTGCCTTGAGTGTTTACCTATATAATAACTTTGTGAAAACTTATCAAACGACCTAAACTGAACTAAAACACATAATGGCTTCCAACTTGAACTTTTCCCCTTCTCAGTCTTTTACCAATCTCTTGTTTAGCCAAGAAGATAACCCAACCCCTCTGAGTCCTTCACAGCCTACTTTTTCTGAATCCCAAACACCCACAACCTTAGCTAGGGAACCTAGAGTGAGATGGAGTGTTCCTGAAGAGAATGCACTTGCAAGTGCCTAGCTCAACATATCCAAAGACTCTGTTGTGGGGAATGAGCAGAGATCAGCTGCCTTTTGGGAGAGGGTTGCAGCATATAATGTTGCATGTCATGCTGTCTCTAAGCTCACCATCCGAGAGGCTAATACTTGTAAGCAGAAATGGCAAAAAAATGAATGAGCTTGTCATGAAGTTTGCAGGCTGTTATGAGTTTGCCTCTCAGACTCCTCGCAGTGGAGAGACTGAAGATGACATTCTTGTGCTGGCCTACAAGCTTTACCATCAGGATCAAAAAACCAAATTCAGTCTTGAGCATGTTTGGAGAATCCTCAAGACTGATCAGAAGTGGTGCAATTGGTGTGAGACCAAACTTCCTGCCAAGAAGAAAGCTAAACTTTCATCTGTAGAAGAAGAGAGTCTTCAAAGGCCTATAGGTGTGAAGGCAGCCAAGGCTTTAGCCAAGTCTAAAGGTAAGGGAAAGAGTGAAGGAGGAGCTGACGCTGGTTCTGCTGCTGAACTTCAGCTTTTGTGGGAAGTGAAAGAGAAGGATTTGGCTTTCAAAGAGAGACTCTCCAAGCAAAAGCTACTTGACAGCCTTCTTGGAAGGTCTGATGGATTGAGTGAGATGGAAATTGAACTTAAGAACACTCTTATCAAAGAGTATCTTTCTGGAAGCAATGTGTTTGTTTCTGAGAATGAATATTCTGGTCTTTAGGTATGTGTTGTTAGTTAAGTTGTTTTGTTTACTTAACATGTAGTATTATCTGATATTCTTTGCTTGTTTATGTGCAGGACCTCCTCTTGGAAGCTAGTGATGTCGGCAAGGAATGGATTGAGTGGTTCTGTTGCTTTAATGTCATCTTCTGTGACTTTTTTTTATTCGGATGTAACTTGTGTTTTGTATGGTCAGAAGCTACTTGTGTTTTGTTTGGTAGCAGCATGTATGGTTGGCAATGTATTGTTATTTTCTATGGTCAGAGCTAGTTGTGTTTTGTATTGTTATTTTCTATGGTCATAAGCTACTTGTTTTTAGTGTATGTGTATTATTGTGTTCTCATATTTCTCAATGTATTATATATATAAGTTGTTGTGTTCTCATATTTCTCAAAACAATTCTTCTCAAACAATTCTTCCTCTCTCTCTTTTTCGCAATACAATTCTTCTCCTTTTCTAAAAACAAGTCTCTTTTATTTGTTTCCTTTTCAAGTCACAAATCTCTTTTAATTGTGAACTTCCCTAAACACAAAGCCTTGTTATAAGCCTTGTCATAAACGAAATCCTTTGCGTATTGTCGTGAGCAGAGTCCTTGACGTATTTTGCCTTGTCATAAGCATAGTCTTCTTCTCTCTTTTTTTCTCAATACAATTCTTCTCCAAAACCAATCTTCCTCTCTCATATTTCTCAATACAATTCTTCTAAAACAAGTCTTTGTTTCTTTCTCTAAAAACAAGTCTTTGCTTCCTTTCATTTTCTAAAAACAAGTCTCTTTTATTTGTTTTCCTTCTCAAGTCACAAATCTCTTTTAATTGTGAACTTCCCTAAACACAAAATTTCTTTTTATTTCTTGTACGTTTTGCTTCTTAAATAATAATGGCATCACATTCTAATGATGATGACACTTTGGAGGAGAGGTTTGAAACATGTTTTGAAGATGGTTTAGAGAATTTCAGTAGACGTGTAGCGGGGAAAAAAAAAGAAAAAAAGGGATGCTAATATAGAGAGAGATCACGAAGAAGGAAATATTCGATTATGGAACGATTACTTTTCGGATGACCCCGTTTACCATGATCGCATGTTCCGACGACGATTTCGTATGACGAAGCCGTTGTTCCTTCGTATTGTTCAAAGTCTTTCTCAATTTCCATATTTCCAACAAAGGGACGATGCTACTGGGAAGCAAGGTCTATCTGCCCTACAGAAATGTACTGCTGCAATTAGGCGTTTGGCATATGGTCTTGCAAACGATGCGATGGACGAATACCTCCGCATGGGCGCAACCACTGTGAGCCAAGCACTAGAGAATTTTGTAGATGGCATAATAAATTTATTCCAAGACGAATATTTGAGGCGGCCTACACGTGAGGATCTAGAACGGTTACTTCATTCTGGAAAGGAACGCGGATTTCCGGGAATGGTAGGAAGCATTGACTGTATGCATTGGGAGTGGAAGAATTGTCCTACGGCTTGGAAAGGGCAGTATTCACGCGAACATGGAAAACCCACTATCGTTTTAGAGGCCGTGGCATCACAAGATTTATGGATTTGGCATGCTTTTTTTGGGGCTCCAGGTACGTGTAATGATATAAATGTTCTTGACCGCTCACCGGTGTTTGATGATATATTAGAAGGTCGAGCTCCACGACTCAGGTACGAAGTCAATGGACATCAATACAACATGGGTTATTACCTCACATATGGTATATATCCGAAGTGGGCAACATTCATCCAATAAATTACCCGCCCACAAGGACCGAAAGCCTCATTATTTGCTAGTTGTCAAGAAGCAGTGAGAAAAGATGTCGAGCGTGCTTTTGGAGTCTTGCATGCTCGGTTTGCTATTATTCGAAACCCAGGTCGGTTTTGGGATAAAGAGCGAATGGGCAAGATAATGAGAGCATGTATCATATTGCACAATATGATTGTAGAAGATGAACGAGACGAAGATACACAATTCGATTTATCTGATTTCGTAGAAGGCGAAGGAAGCGGGACTTCTCAAGTAGACAACTCTTTTTCTACAGAGACAGCTACAAATGTGAACAATTTGATGGCCAATCGAGCTCAAATATGTCATGAACAAACACATCGATAATTGAAAGAAGATTTGATTGAACATATTTGGCAAAAATGGGGCGAAGGTAATTGACTACAAGCGACTAAATTATTTTTATCATCATGTTTTTTTCAGTTTTTTTGAATTTTATGTTTTATTTTGCTTAAGTATATTCTACGTTTTTTTAATTGTAATATTACCTTTTGTAATCCTATGTTTTAATATATTAATTTTTGATTTTGCAAATTTTTTTTTATGATACTTAAACCGGTCTCACCAATGCAAACATATTTAGTAGGAGTATCATAAAAATCTCAAACAATAAACAAATATTATAAATAATACTAAAAAATTCCTAATGATACTATATGGGTATCACCCATACACATGCTCTTAGGACTTGGACCACTTGGTTGTTTTTAGTTTTCTAGTATTAGGGTTTGTTCCTTTTTGACTTCACTTTTTCACCTCACACATGGAGGATCCAAACCTAGTCAAGCTAGGTGTTACTTTTATGGTTATACTTTATATATGTTAAAGTATTGTAGTTTAAGAAAACAAAAAAAAAACATAATTGGTGTGTTTTTATCAAATATTTTCCTAAAATTTTAAAATTGAAATGCACATGAAAAGAAAACCATGTATATCTTACCTAAATACTAGTAGTTTACTAACGATGATTGACTAAAACAAATTATTTTTCTTTAAAGTAAAACGAACATAAGATGCATGGGTATACTAACACGGAATTCACATAAATTCTAAGGCAAATTAAACGACAATAAGAGCACCCAATTAGCTAGGTAGGAGAGATTTGGTTAAGTAATTGCGATCAAAAAAATAAATACAACATAACCAGAAGTTGATACCTCGACTGGAAATGTACTTTGGAAAATTTTAAGAAGTCGCATGATCGAGTGTCAGCTAATATAAGTAAAAATATTAAAGGTAGGCCCAGACCTAAGGAGATGTATGATTTTCGACTCGTAACTTCTTAGAAAAAAAAAGTTTAATTAACATACATAAGTGGAAGTCTGTCTCTATATTACTTTCTTCTATGATGCATATAAACTTTGTTCACAAACTTTGTTAACATTTTGAGGAAAAATGGATATTAAAACTTTGAGGTTTTTGAAAATAGAAAAAAAAATCTGACCTATTCTTTTGGGTTATTAAACCCTGACTTTCATAATTTGTGAATAACAGTCCCCTACGTTAAAAGACGTTAAATACGTGACAACGACAAAACGTAGCACTTTGGTTAAGAAGAACAGAATTATAGTGAGAATGAGAGCATCAGATTCGAGTTTCTCTTGGGGTTAACATAAACCACAAATTATTTTAGAATTGTGAGGCAACCCATTGATTATCGTTTCCATATTTCCGTTTAGATTTTCATATAAATTCGCTTCTTCAATGAAATATTTTAGGTACATCACTCATCATGCTTCAACTAGTGTAATTAAATTTTGAATGAAATACATGTTAATCAAAATGGTGTAATAAAATAAACTTGCCCATAAACAATGAAATTGAGACATGTCTAATTGAACAAAGGCAAAGCAACAAAGTTCCAGAAGAAGAATTGGAGAACAAGAGTAAAGAACTAGGAGTGAAGTCACAAAAATAAAAGAGCACAAAAACACCGTATTACAGATTGCATCGCTTAATATTTAACTTGTTTCGCTCGTATTCTCTAAAAAGTGACGATGGTAGAACAAAATTGGTGCGTAGATCTCTTCATCATATAAGCCAAATTAATTTTATAAGTAATGAAAATGCAGTAAACCTTAAGATTAAGAAAAACGCCTTACCTCATCTTAGTTTCTCCTTGTAGAAACTATAAAGCACCATTTGAGAAGATAATTCTCTAGGAAACACAAAACCTTAAGAAAAGAAAACAATTAAGGAAGATCTTCCTAGAAACCCTATGCGGCTATGCCCTACGTTTTACTCTGTTTTGTGAGGAGTCATGTTTTTTTCATCTTTGTTTTTTAATCTAATGTTAAATTATATTCAAAAGAAAAATAAACGTTTATACATTTGAATGCAAACTTTTTATAACTTCTAAATAAAAGAGTCTAACTTTCTTTGCTTTGTTGCGAACCACATTTGGATGCCGCCATCGAGGTATCCTCCTCTTGTGATCGTGGACAGCCGATTTCGCATATTTTTGTCTATCAGTTTTACCAGCCTTTCCGTCGGAGAAGATAGTTCGCCATGTCGTCTGTTATTCCTTTCTCCCCAGATAGAATGTATCGTGTTTTGGAAAGTATATCCAAGAAGAGATCTCTTAACCTTGACCAAGTCTTTACTAGCTAGCATCATCATCACATCAGTCCAGTTCGTTGAGAAATGTTCATTGAGTACCTTTCACTAGCTCGTCCCAAATCTTCTCTGAGTAGATGCATTGGAAAAATAAATGTTCTCTGGTCTCCATAGGGTGGTTGCAGAAAACACAACTGGTATTTTTTCATCTTTACTAAACACATCGTTTTTATTATTGTTGCTTTGTTAATGCACGTTAACAACATCGGGGCTGTTTCTCACATTTTGTTAAAATTAGGGTTTAATAACTCAAAAAAAAGGTCAGTTTTTTTTTTCTGTTTCTAAAAAACTGCAGGGTTTTTTTACCCATTTTTACACATTTTGATAATGCAACGAAATTAATTAAATTAGAAGTTCAAACAAAGATAGTCCAATTAGTCAACTAGAGTTACAATGGGCCGAGCTGATAATATTTAGGCCCAAACAAAGCCTCTGAAAGAATCAGAGACAACGAAAACGAAATTGTATATTCTCGTCATCCTCAATATTGTTTTTTTTTTTTTCAGACTTTGCACTAACTCTCAAAGAAGAAGAAGAAAAGATCTGAGAGAGGTCGAATGATCCAAGAGAAGAAGAACAATCTCTCTTAGATCGTTTGATCTGATCTGATCCAATCGACGAAGAAGAAGAAGAATGGGAATCTTATTCACGCGGATGTTCTCTTCCGTCTTTGGTAACAAAGAAGCTCGAATCCTCGTCCTCGGTCTCGACAATGCTGGCAAAACCACAATCCTCTGTAAATTCACTCTCTCAATCATTCGCATTGTGTAACTAGGGTTTTTGATTCGATCGTTGTTTTTGAGTTGCGTTGATTTTGGTTTCAGATCGGCTTCAGATGGGAGAAGTTGTCTCTACGATTCCGAGTATGTATCTAATCTCTTGATTTTGTTATAGATTATTGGATCTAGTCGGATTTTGAAATTGTGTTTTTGCGAATTTTGGTTTTGATCCGATCTCTGCAGCTATTGGATTTAACGTTGAGACTGTGCAGTACAACAATATCAAGTTCCAGGTCTGGGATTTAGGTACGTTTCTTAGAATATGTTTGAAGTAGTACAAATGATTTTGGTATATATGGAAGGGAAATTCGGAATCTACACTATATAAGCTTTAGATTAATCCATATCAAACCATTTTCCATGTTAGCAGATCTTCAGTGACACATTTGAATAATGGAAATGTTTCGTCTTTGAGTGAATTACACGAACCGTGATCAGGACATTCCTTGATTTGGAGTCCTTAGATTATATATTCTTCATAATGATAGGTAGTTGTGGTATATGTTGGGTATATTGGACTCTCTTGTTCCAATTTATTACATTTTCTACCTTTTCCAAGTGGTCTTGAATATGGGGGATTGTTGATTGTTTTCCATGGAGTGCGTGTATTGTATGTATATATGTCTTTGCTGTTTAGTAGGTTCTTACATACAATTCTTATTTGCGTTTCACATTTTGATAAATAGATTGGTTTAGCGAAAACAATACACTAACTAGAATTTTCATGTGACAGGTGGACAAACGAGCATCAGGTAGCTTAATGACCTTGATTCTCATTACTAGAAATGATGAAATTTGCATGTACTGTGAAAGCATGAAGACCAGAAATGACACAATCAAGATTATACTGTGTGTTTTTCTCATATTTCTAATCGGTATTTTGACAGGCCATACTGGCGATGCTATTTCCCGAATACACAAGCAGTGATCTATGTTGTTGACTCGAGTGATACAGATAGAATCGGGGTGGCGAAAGAGGAGTTTCATGCAATTTTGGAGGTAAACTACTGCCCGAGGCTTCCTCTTCTTATACTATTGTATTATTTTCCCGATGGGCTTCTTGCATCCATAATTAATATGAAGCAAACCTTTTTCTGGTGACATATATTGGTAGCTATAAAGAAATTCAATATTGACTCAATAACAGCAAACTGTTTCATTATGCAACAGAGCTTACAAAAAAGTGTACCTCTGCCACTGGCAGCATTTAACTCTTGTCTATTGTCAACTGTTTTTTATAGGAAGATGAATTGAAAGGTGCAGTGGTTCTGATATTTGCAAACAAGCAGGTTAGTATAGCTAGCTCTTCTGATAAATTTTGACTGTATGTATTGGTTTTCTGTTGCAGTTTGTTTTGCTTTTCTGCTGATAAAATTCTATAAGAGCTTGATCTGAACTTCCTTATATCAACTTAAACAGGATCTTCCTGGTGCACTCGATGATGCCGCTGTTACAGAAGCCTTGGAGTTGCATAAGATAAAGAGTCGTCAATGGGCAATCTTCAAAACTTGTGCTGTTAAAGGCGAAGGACTTTTCGAGGGATTGGACTGGTAAGCACATTCTGAAACCGAACCATATCTTGGTCCCATTACTGAAACCCAACCATTTCTTTGCGCGTTTGTTCTCAAATATTCTTCTCTTTTCCATCTTGATCTTCAGGTTGAGCAATACATTGAAGTCGGGAAGTGGCTAAAATTATCTTCATACACCAATCTGTCACATCCCTCAAGAGTGTATCTTTGATCATTTTTACTTATTGGTTTGTTTAGTATCATTTTTATCTTAGTTCTTCATCTTAAAGAGTTAATATCAATGACGTGTTCACTTAATATTGTCTCTTTTCTTTGTTGTTTTGTTTCATTCTGAAAAAAAAAACTCAACACGGATTTTTGATTGATACCCGTAAGGGATATATCACCTTTTAACATGAAACTGTACTGATTCCAGACGAAACACTGAAAAGGTTCCAAGTTGGTTTTTTGCCGACTTGGATTCATAAATTCAAACAAACGTTTGGGTTTTGAAAGTCCGAATTTTTATGTTATTTGTCTGCCATGTAAGGAGCCATCACTTTGTTATCCAAGAAACCAAAAACATCTTCTTTCACCTCATTAAACGACGCTGCATTAATCTCTGACACAGCCGTCTTCCTCAACTCTCCAATGCGGATTTCATTTCTTGCAATTGAACCATATTCATCTCCTCAACAGGCGCTTCCCACCAATTAATCATCGGTCGCCTCGCACTTACCTTCCTCATATCTTCCATCGCTTGACCCTTCTTCTTCTCTTCTTCTGACTCGTTTAAGATTTCCGTCAACCGCAAATTTAGCTCGCAACTCGGTGCAACGTTTCCCCGGTGTTGTTGAGTCTGAGTTGAGGGCAGATTGTTCTGGGATAAGTGACGGTCCAATACGGATTCGACACTTGTATGCTTAAAAGAGAAAGGTTTTTGGGCAGGACTAAACACAATGATCGCAATCTCTGCACCGCACATTAACGTACAAAGCTCACTAGCTTTCTTAAAGAGACTGGCTCGGCGTTTAGAGAACGTAACTTGACGGTGGCTCTCTTTCTTGATCTTAACCAACGGAATTTTCTGTCGTCCCATACTTTCTTTCTTTTTTGTCATCATAGTTTTGTTATGGCGGGTTTTGGGTTGCTTTTCTTTGTTGGACAATTTGGTGGGGAGGTTCCTTGTTTATTTTTTTATATATACATGCATGTGTGAGTATAATGCGACATGATTATGAGATCGACTTGCAACTTGGTAATCTATTTTTATTTTTGTAACAACACTTTGTAATTACTCACTTTGTTTTTTTTTTTTTTGAAAAAAAAAAAAAAAAAAAAATCTCAATTTGGTAATGCAATGATTTCCTTTATCTTTTTAAATTATTGGCTTTTGTATAAATGCATGATTATATTTGTTTGACAAAAAAAAAGCATGATTCCTATAATCACCGATTTTTATGTTAAGAAAATGTTTACAAAGACCTAATGAGTTTTTCGACAACATGATCAAAGCCATGAAACACAACGGTGAGCTTTCATGTGAGAGGCCCAAAGAAATTCTAGTCTCTTCGCCTATTTGGTGTTTCAGAATTTTTCATTTTTTCTTAATAAGTGATCAGTTTGTTAAAGTATATATATATATATATATATATATATATTACTTTTTCCCAAATCAACAGAGTTTCGGTGTCTCATCTTAGACCATCTCCAACAGCAGTATCTCAATAAGTATCTAGAGATTTAAAAAATATAAAGTAATAAAAAAGGTTGAGAGAGAACAAGATACTATGAGTAAACTCTCAGAAACCCACTTTAACACTTGAGTTTTTATGATTGGTTAGATTTTATATTTTATAATTTAAAATTTAAATAAATAATTTATTTATTACTAAATTATTAAAAAAATATAATTGAGAAACTCTCACCAGTTTCTTGCGTTGGAGATGCCTTTAATAAAAATGAAGATATATAGTCTTCGTTGCTTAACAAAAACAATACACTCATTAAAAAAATTGAACTGTAATGGTGTGATCCAATTCTTCTAGTTAAGCCTAATGTCAACTTGGTTTAGCTGGTTTGATGTTTGTTCAGTGATTAATGTCGGTTTGGCATTGGTTTAAGAGAAGAGGGCTTTTTGCTATATATATAAGTTCTCTCGTCTTCATCATTCTCTTGTAACATAAATTTTTCAATTTCTTTCGCTTGTAATCTTCTTGAACTCTGGTTTTGAGCTTGAGCAAACTCTTGATTCGTGATAGTGGATTGCTCGATTGAATCCAGCCCCAAACATAGATTCATCACATCGGTGAATCGAACTGGGTAAACAATTTTGTGTTCTTGTGTCATCTTCTTCTATTTCTTTTCTTATGATTCTTTAAAATCGATTTGATTGTGAGATTTGAGCTGAAAGAACTTGAGATCGATTAAGGTTTCGGGTCAACGAAACGTAACATGAACATATAGTCATATACCAAATGTCAATAGCTCAATTCTCAAGCAAAGCCTAGAGATCACCGTTTTAGTGACATTTGAAAGATGATCATATAAAATGCTTTGGTCTTTGTCCTTAAAAGATGTACGGATCTAGGTTCAGAATTTCTTAGTTAGTTAAAAAAAAAAATCTAAACATATATCACATATATTAGATTATGGTTCGGTTCAATTGTATTTTACTCAACCAGTTTGTTCCGGGTTAATAGGTCAAGAATAGAAAGTGTATATAAACACTTGTAAATCAATCTTTCATCAATACACAGAAACGCTTTTCTGCTTTCGGCTTCTTTCCTTTCCTTTCATGAATCACTCTAGATCTCCATCTTAGGAAAACCTTGAGCTAGTTTCTGTTCTCTTCCGCTTCTAATATGGTATCAGAGCTTTAGGTTCAGCTCATTTTCGTCAGATTTTGTTGTTTTCCTTCGATCTGGTTACTCAAAATCCGATTTCAACAATGGTTAAAGCAGTGATACGTCGCAACACTCGTCGGTCTGGAGACTCTTCACGCGCAGGAAGCACTACTCGTGCAGGGAGTCTTACCCCTGTTCCGGAAGCATCGATTGCTCCTCTTGCTATACCTGCTGCGATGAACCCAGACAGTGTTCATTCACCACTGTTTCTCCATCACGCCGACCATCCAGGGATATTGATTGTCTCTGAGCAGCTAGATGGGTCAAACTACAACCAGTGGAGCTCTGCGATGAAGATTGCTTTGGATGCGAAGAACAAGATCGTATTCATTGATGGCTCTTATCCTCGACCTGAAGAAGGTAACTCTCTTTTTCGAATCTGGTCTAGGTGTAATAGCATGGTAAAGTCGTGGTTGCTTAACTCGGTTAGTAAGGAAATCTATGGTAGCATCTTGTCCTTCGACGATGCTTCGCAGATATGGATAGATCTGCATAATCGTTTTCACATGACCAACCTCCCTCGAACCTTCCAGTTGATTCAGCAGATCCAAGATCTTCGTCAAGGGTCTATGGACCTCTCCACCTACTACACAAGACTGAAAACCCTATGGGATAACCTTGATGGTGCTGAGGCCACCGAGCCTTGTGCTTGCTGCAAGAAATCGAACTGTATTAGTCAGCTCTCTGCTAAGTCTAAGGTTGATAGAGGTCGTGTCATTAAATTTCTGGCAGGATTGAATGAGAAATACTCTATCATTAGGGGACAGATCATTATGAAAAAGCCACTTCCCAACTTGGCTGAGATCTATAACATCTTGGATCAAGATGACAGTCAAAGACAGTTTAACAACAGTGTTGCTTCAACTGCTTTTCAGATCAGTCATGAGAACAATCAACCTGGTGTGTTGAATGTCTCTCCCAGCATGAGTCAGCCTAGTGTGTTGAATGCTGTTCAAAGAAAGGACACTAAGCCGACTTGTTCTCATTGCGGTTACACATGACACACTTCGGACAAGTGTTACAAACTACATGGTTACCCAATTGGATGGAAGAAGGGTAAATCATATTATGAAAAATCTCAGCAGTCTCAGCAGCCACCTAAGAACACTCCTGCGGTCACAGCTCAAGTCTCTGGCAGTAATCAGAATGCCCCTGCATGTCTCGAGAACCTCATTGGGAACCTAAGTAAGGATCAGATTCAGAGTTTCATTGCCCTTTTTAGCTCCCAGTTGCAGCCTGCTAACCAAGTTCAGAACACAGCCTCAGTCTCAAACAATTCAACCAATGATCCTTCTGGTATATCATTTTCACCTTCTACCTTTAGCTTCATTGGTATTCTGACTGTCTCTAAGAATGAAATGACTTCAAAAACATGGATTGTGGATTCTGGTGCAACCAACCATGTATGTCACATTAGAGACATGTTCATTGATCTTAACACATCTGTTCAACACCATGTGAATCTGCCTAATGCAATGACGATTCGAGTTGGAGGTGTTGGCAGTGTTGTTGTTAATGATGATATTGTTTTGAAGAATGTTCTTTACATTCCTGAATTTCGGCTGAATCTGCTAAGCGTCAGTGCTTTGACTACAGACATAGGTGCTAGAGTTGCTTTTGATCAGAATTGTTGTGTGATACAGGATCTCACCAGGGGATCAATGATTGGAGGAGGTAGAAGAGTGGGAAATCTTTACATGCTGGATGTTGAAGACTCTTTGGATAAAGACTCTGTTCCCACTTCTTTTGTTGCTAATTCTGTAATTGATGCATCTGTTTGGCATCAAAGACTTGCTCACAGATGTACTTGGAATTTCTAAACACAAGAATAAAGGTTTATTGCACTGTGATATTTGTCAGCGAGCAAACCAGAAGAAATTATCTTATCCTAGTCGTCAAAATTTGTGTTCTGCACCTTTTGATTTACTCCATATAGATGTATGGGGACCTTTCTCAGAACCAACACAAGAAGGCTATAAATACTTTTTAACAATTGTTGACGACCATAAAAGAGTGAAATGGGTGTATCTTCTGCGTCTTAAGAGTGATGTTCTCACTGTTTTTCCGGATTTTCTCACTATATATGGTGGAGACTCAATACAACGTCAAGGTGAAGTCAGTGAGATCAGATAACGCACCAGAGCTAAAATTTGAAGAGTTGTATAAAAGAAAAGGAATTGTGTCTTATCATTCATGCCCTGAGACTCCGGAGCAAAACTCGGTGGTAGAACGAAAGCACCAACACATTTTAAACGTAGCCAGAGCTCTTCTCTTCCAATCTCAGGTTCCTCTCAGTTTTTGGGGTGATTGCATTCTCACTGCAGTCTTCCTCATAAATAGAACTCCTTCACTGGTCAGCTCCAATAAAACTCCATATAAGATGTTGACAAAGAAGACACCTGAATACACTCACCTGAAGACCTTTGGCTGCTTGTGTTATGCTAGCACTTCTCCAAAACAACGCAACAAGTTCCAAGAGAGGGCTCGTGCTTGTGCTTTTCTCGGATATC